TTTATAAGAAAACTAATTGTTAGTTTGGTGTAAGACGCTTCATTAAGATAATTTAGACAAAATAATGAAAAGAATTACTGGTAATTATGTTTAGAGGGCAAAATAATATAATTTTAATTGACAACTAAAATTATAGGGACATAGCTGCCCCTGCCCATCCCCTTGTGTCCATCCTTGAGTGTAAACACTCTGTGATTTTAATTTTTATTATACCTAAATTACCCTCATGTATTGTTTATTAAAAAGCAAATTTCATTAATAAGATTACTACAAATCGTCTAGCATGATTTAGTTTACATCACAAAAATATGCACTAACTAGAAATAACAAATCTACAATTTAACAAATATAATACATTTGAAAAATTATGATCAAATCTGAAATATACAAAGAAATTCCAAAATGTCTTGTAATAAGATAAATCAATGCAACTCACTTCTGTACGTGTTATTGTTGTCAAATCTAACTCATCAATTGTTTTAAACTCCAATAATGAAAATGAGATGTGTCAAGATAAACCTAAGATCAGATCTAACAAGCCTATTTGAAATAAGTTCCGATCTAACAACAAAATATATAAGAGAACAAAAAAGAAACTACACAAAAATCTCACTAGGAATCTCTAGTAGAAATAGAAATCTCTTGCTAAAAAGTCGTAGGAGAGATTTTATTGGTAATACAAAGTAAAAACTGAGTCAATAGGAGAAAGGCCTTCTAAAAAGAAGAGAAGAAATAGAAAAATGTTAGAGAAGAGGATAGGTAGAGAGGGAGAGAGTGGGCTACCCCATGTTTTCTAATTAAAGTTACTAGTATAAATACCCGTGCTATGCACAGTAGATTACATTTTTGAAAAAAATTACAATCTATAGAGGAATTTAAAAATAGTAAAATGTTATAATCACGGGCACATGAAAGTATATTTAAAAAAATGAAACTTTGTAACAATAATTCAATATATGATAAAAACATCTCTATTATTTATAAACTATCACTTTGATGAAGGTTGGATCCTGAAAGAAAATAGAAATTTATATCATAAATTGAGCGACATAAGGGTCCAATTAAATATAATTAAATATTTAATTTGATAAATAAATGAAATACTTACAAACATTTTGCCTTCAATTTGATAATCTTCTACGAAGGCGTGAATATTTTTCACACCAATCAACTCTGAGTACGAACGCCAGTATTGGGGATTTAATTAATTCTGTTGATTTTTGTGGAGTTCGTACTATAAATGAGAATGCACGATTTTTGCATGAATTAATGTGTTGGTCGAACAATGCACCTCCATTTTCCTGACAATTAAAAGCATACATAATTCAAAATTATCTTTTGTTTTAGATAGTTTGTAAATAATATTGTATAAAAATATATACATATAAATAATGTATACCTTTGTTTTTAAATCTCTAAGATAAAAAGCATCACAACGAAACATGAATTGTGCATGTCTGTCTTGAAAAGCGAGGTATAGGTTACCACTGAAATCTTTAACTTCTATGTTAACACTGTATCTGTTAAGAAGAAATTGTGATGTATGATGTAAAATTATATTAAAATTCAAAATATATGAAAATAATTACCTGACAATAGTGCCGACTACGTCATTACAATGGATACACACCATTTTTGCAAAATGAGATTGACATAGTTGTCCAAAATTTTTGCATAACTCATGGAACATATTGTCTATGTTGATACTTTGAATGTAAGCAAGTATCCGAAAATATTTAATCTAAAACAATCCAAAGAATGTTTAGATTACAATTATTAATTCGAAACTACATGTAGATACTTGTTCATTACTTAATTAATTGAGAGGAATTGTACCGTAGGTATAACTGCATATTCAGATATCAATAATTTTTTAGCATTTGATATCAATAATGCTTGGGACATTATAAAACTGCATGACCGCAACCACGTCACTAATTTCTGAGCACATTTATCATTCTCAAACCTGCAAATTTTTCAAATATATATTCGCAAGAGTATGAAATATTATTAATAATTTAATATTTTGGTATTTATAAAACTTACCAACTGTGTAGGTATTGAGCAAAATCCAAGTAGTAATTGACATACAATTTGCTTGCTCGAATAGTATAAAGTGACGGTCCTGCACAATGTGCTATATTTATTGATAAACTATAAAATTTAAATAAAATAAAGTGAAAATAAATTGAATTACCTTTATGGGAATCAGTAGTGGCATGACGACCATCTGACACGCGTGGGTTAATAAGGATACCAACAGCAAGTGGAAAGAGATCTTACTCAATCTTCTCATGGAATTGGATTAGAAGAGGTTTAATTGCAGTGGGAAGATGTGTGAGGAGAGTTAGTTGAAATTAACTTCTTGTTTGAGGGAACGTGGGAATGTTTAGTTAGAATTAACTTCTTGTTTGAGAAAAACGTGGGGGTGTAATGTGCTCATGATGTTTTTTTCGAAATAAATTAAATATAAAATGCTATAAAAATAGAGTTGAGAGTGGGAAGGATTGTGAAGGCTTGTTGCTAAAAATACCTTCTCAAATTTATATAGATATAGATTGTATTTTAATTGTGGTACTAATTAAAAAATGAAACATTTCACTTGATTACATCTCAACAATGTTGGTAATTAAAATTGAAAACTCTCCTTTTAAAACTATTTACAACCCTCTATCTCCATTTATTATTTGTGAAAATTTCTCACTCAAAGCCATTATAAAAAATTTTCATTAGCACAATTTGAGATTGTAAAGAATATCATATAAAAAATAGATGCTCTAAGGAACAAAGAGAAACGTATGAAAAGAAAAGAGTTCATATTCATCTATATTTTTTCATATAAAAGTCATAAGCCAATTGTACAATTACGTACCTTTTATCTTTATTAGGAAAAACAAAAACAAAAGCAAAAAGAAAAAACCCAACTATTCTACCAATCTAGTTTCAATTGATAGCTAAACAACCAGCCTAAGATAATTGAACATTATGAATTACTTGCACTCTCATTAACAGGCACAACATTTAGATAAATTGCAAATGGTTTAAATTCAATGATCATTGCACTTCATTTTATCCAATTCAAATTCATAACAAAACTAAAAAGTTGAACAACTAGTAGGAAATAAAAGAGAGCACTTAAATGTCAATGCAACCAACGAACATACCAACAATTTAGTTAATTTGAGATGACAATTCATCTCACCCACATTCAAGAAAACTACAAAAACATTTCATATACTTCACCTATAAACAACCATTTGATTCTAATTTAGTTTTTCAAACTTTAGTTTATTCTTTTCTATAAGATTAATAGGAAAATTGAGGCCTTGTTGTTTGTGCTTTATGTGGCATTATCTTCAAACAAAATTATAGGAACAATGAAAGATACATAAAAAGGGAAAAATCCAGGTATCTTTGCCAATGAAATTTCAATTGATGACAAAGAATAGCCATATAGATATAAGTACAGCTAAATATGATAGATTATAAGTATCCTAATTAAGTAAACACAATTTTGACAAAAAAAAATTAAGTAAACACAAAGGACACATATACAAAAAAGTATATATTTATATGAAATAAAAAATGGTGCAAAAAAATTAGTGTAGCTCACTTCATAATAAAGAATTTTAGCATAATGCTAACAAATTCAACTCAGATAATATTAACAATTAAGGGTAAGAACAGCAACATTAGTAAAAACATGAGAATATTAATAAGGGATAATTTCAGAATCCTCCCTCGAAGTTTCTAAAAATTTCACATAAATACCTCCCCTTGATTGACATGTTTGATATCAAAGTCAGCCCCTGTCATAAAAATGACTTCAAAGTGAAGCAAAAGTACTTTACACATAATTTCTTTCAAATGTACCCTCCTTATCTCTAGAAAAAATTAATTACACTTTTTGGTGAGAAAAATGCCAATAAAATATAAAGGAAAAAGATTGCCACCAGTCTGATCCTTTCACGACTGCAAAAAAGGAAAAAAAAATAATCTATGATTTTAATTGTTATCCCAAGAAGATCCATTGCAAGAGCTATTGGTAATGTAATGGATTTTTCATGCTAGCACGTAAGGCTAATGAAGGTGCCAAAACAATTCGTGCAATTTTTAAATGAAGGTATCTATAAATAGAGTCATCTCTAACCATCATCAAGTGCCAAGTAGCTTAGAGGCACGTTCACAAGCACAACATATGATCTTCTATGAAGTTTAAATCTTATCCATTGCAAGAATTAACATGATAAATAACAATCAATATTTAGAAAACTTGTAAATAGGTTTAATAAATCAAAACAGTTTTGATCTTTTACTTTTAATGATTTCGATGGAGTCTAAATTGTGGTATATTGGTCACCTTTTTGTAATAATAATCAGTTAAAGCAACTAAAATTCGTGAAGATATTGTATTATGAGGTAAACAATCAAAATTTCACACCGAATTTTAGTATCGAAAAGATGTTACATTTGGGTTATTATAAGTATTACTTGCGGGGCAAAAAGTAAATGGTGTATCTATTAGTAAAAAACGAAACAAGTAAGTTTAGTTGATAAGATCGAGCCACTTATTTAACAAAGACGGTGTATTCTAGTCATATTATCAAAGTAAGGATACGTGAGGACTATCTTGGTAGATAATATGTAAGAATACCTGTAAGCGACTTATAGTCTTGAGAGAATGGTGGTGACTAATCGAACCACTTAAATTTTTTTTCTACCCAAAAGGTTAAAAAAAAAAAAACTACTGGTCAAAATGGCAAAGGGGAGAAATAAGATATCAAGGAAGAAGAAAGTCTGCAAAACAAAAAAAGACTTCTTTAGGAGGAAGGAATGAACTCAAACTTGGGTGTAAATGAAATTCTGATCTACATTATATCATAATCGTTCTAATGAAGTTGACGTTGACAAATCAATCTACTTTTCTACACGAAATCAGAAAGCATACAAAAGTAGTCTAAAATGACTAAAAATTCCACCACTCACTAGAACTTGACTCACTACATAGATTTGGCTGTGACTGTCTCTTGCCGTTGGATGAACTTCTGGTGGCTCCGCTCTTGCTGTATGTACAACACTATCGCTAATCCAGTCATGATGACTACGAATGCAATATTGTGTGCTCTAGAAGTGAAAAGCAAGTCCAAATTCACAAATGCAGCCTCATCAGAGTAGGGATCTATTACTGGATCTCTTACAGAGTCATAAAGATGTGTAACAACCCTCATCAGAGTAAATCCAATGTAGTAAAGTTTCCGCAGGGGTCTAAAAGGAGAATGGGATATCACGTTTTCAACAATTTGAGGAAGCAGAAATAGATCTTGAATGAAGCCCATGAATTCCTGTGTTTTGTTTGTCCAAATTTTCTCCAGTTGTGCATCTCCAATTCTGCTCACGTCCTCGTTCTCAAAGATACTCCTATAGAGAAGGTAATAGCTCAGCAACCCAGGTACAAGAATTACAGCAACAATTTGGCGAACCCTTTTATCCTGAGGAACTCCTATGGGTTTGGAAGGGGAACCAGGATGAGGTTGCTTACGAAATTCTGTCACCTTGCGCATAAGAGTTGCGGTCATCACCAATGCAGTTAAAACAAGAAGCTTGGCAGTGTAATCAAGGAGAGTCAACAGTTGGTCATATCCAAGGAGGCCATATGGGAATTTGCACTCTTTTTCTTGCAACAGAAATTTGGTGTTGGAGAGCACTGGGTATACATAGCCAAGAAATTGCAAGGAGAGCATGATAACAGATATATCAGGAATGCCATCCACATTTTTCTTCATGTAAAGCAGCTGGCTTGAAATGAGTGCAATAGATGCTGTGATCATAAGATGCCGCAGGATCTCTTCAAAAACTTTTCTAAAGACTGCATCTTCTTGGTGTTCGTTATACGGAAGCATAGAGGTCTGGAGTTCTATTGGATGAAAATACAAGGAATCATTTTCATTCCTCAGGCTTGTGATGGTAATTTCAGCTTCAGGATTGACCAACCACCTCAGTGCTTCAGCTGGGTACCGAATTTTTACCTCAATCAAACAGTCAAAGCCCCTCTCGAGGTTCAATGTACTAGTTTGAACTGTGACCCTCCTGCAACCAATTAAGTACATCTCACCTGCAAGTGGATCATATACGCCCTCCAGAAACAACTTTGATACATTCTTGTAATCCTTCTCCGTGAATTTGAGAGGTTCTTGTGTGAACATGAGAGAAAGTGAAACATTCAGCACCTCAGACTTTGAGACTTTGACATGATTATCCGGAATAGCAGTATCTTCGTGCAACCAGGGACTACGGCGACCCATGGCTAGAGGACCCAAAGCGAGGACCTCAAGTTCAATGAAAACGTCAGGCTTATGGCTGTTATACGAAGATACAGGAGTTCCATAGCATGAAATACGAAGGTCATAAGAGAGAGAATCATAATGAGCAAATACATCTTTGGCTTTCCACAAAGATGAATAACTCAGGACCAACCTTTTGACATCGGCTACCAATCTTGGAAGCTGGATTATTTTCGCAGGATAGGACAGAAAAAATGGTTTGATAAGATTGACCAATCCAACACTTTGGCTTCTTTTCCAGAAAGCTTCAGCCAGTTCAATCTTTGAGTAATTGTATAAAAGAAAATAACTACCATACCAACCATGGACCAATCGGAGATCTGAAGGACGCATTTCCAACTCGAACAGTACTGGATCATATGAGTTGTCTTCACTGCTAATGCTGGATATGCTTCCAAAGATGATGCTCCTCTGCTTGATGGAAAATGAATGAGGAAAGTACAATGAGATCTGAGAATCACATCCTTGAAGTCCAGAACTACTGACTCCAGGACACCCCACAAGGCAAAGATGCCCTTTGGAGGCATCCCATATTCCTTCAACAGCCATTGTCATGTCTGAAAGCCCAGTCCTTATACCTGCTATATCTCCCTCCATCTCTGCAGGAAATGCTCTGAAAAGTGCAGCAACCCTGGCGCTGTTGCTCATAGTTTCACATATGAATTTCTGCATGATAAGCCTAACATTTTTGTGAGTACCCCGTCCTAGGAAAAAAGGCCCGAGTCTACCAGTGTTGAAAAATCTCCAGTTTGGTACAATGTTGAAAAGATATCCTGAAAAACTACGCATGACAATACAGAATTCAGTGTTATTAAATCTGTTGGCATCATCGTCATCAAGATCCTGCCTAAACAATCTTAAATCACAAGTTCTTGACTTGAGTTTTTCAGAGCTGAACTTGTATTTTGAGAAAGCATTCAGCTGAGAAGATATGTGAATGACATCAAAGTACCTAGGATTCTTTGGCTCATTCAAACTTCTAAGTTCTCCCAAAATTGCTCTCTTTGTCAAAGTCAAAATATTAGGATAATGAAGAACCAACAACAAGCGACCATCCTGCAAGAGTCTGGGCTGGTTGTTGCTCGAAGAAACTGTAAAGCTCGACGTACCAGGAGCTGAGGTCCAGAAAGGCAGAGTTGTATTCCCCAACATGCAGAATAAACGTTGTCCCCCATCTTTTTCGGTTTCAATATAAACTCCTTCAAAGTCAATTTTGAGGACAGACATACCAGGCGCCATATGGAAGTTGGAACGCGGATCATAAATCAAAGTGCTGTTCCTGGCCATGCCAATACACATAGTCCCGCGGAGACTGACAGCATTTTTCAACTGATGGACTGGATTAACATCCTTTACCTCAAATCCTACAAGTCTTAGAGGAGAAGAGACAGACAAACTATCTCCTGGAAGATCACTGTCATCGAAAGGTACCAACGGTGATCTGCCAAGTTCCTGTGTCCAGTCACCTTGGAAGAAGGAAAGCTCCTTTCTAATCTTATAACCTCTAACATCATCGGGTTTTAACTCGGAAGCTGAAGATAGAAATGGGCTGCATTCCTTTTCAATCTCAGGTAACCGGTTGTATGTATGGACTACCGGAGGATCATCAAAGTAAATGGGCATATCAGATATTGCATAGCTAAACAGTGCAAACAACTCAAGTAAAGTCCAGAGACAAATTTGCAACGATTGATTCATTATTGCAAGAGTCAATTTAACTGCTAGAGTTATACCTTAAGTACGTCTTCCTGGATCCAAGGTATGAGGAAAGATGTTGAATGAAAGGACTAGATGACTAATACTGATGCATTGAAACTAGAGACTGCTGTAGAGGTACTAACCTCAAAGAAGGTGTCAGACTTTCAGCTGGAATTGTGAAGTTAAGTTCTTGTCATGGTAAAATTTGCTCTCGAGACTTCTCCAAGTTTGAGCTTTTCCATGAAACTGAGTATCTTTACTAGAAGACCCTCCCTAAGATCAGAGCTGATATTGCAGATATAGATGTATTGTATCATACCATGAAATTACAAGTTTTTTTTTTCTTCTCTTTCCCCACCTAAAGAAATTGAATTAGAGCCCAAACATGAGAAAAATTCAAAGTCAACTAACACTGTGAGCCAACTTGTATGAATTGAAACAGCTGTCTTTAGAGATCTGGTAGTAATTAGCAAGTATTTTATATGGTTGCCTGCTGGAAGAACTGAATGGTTCACTATGTTATCATTTACTTATTCTTTTATTGTATTTGTGAATCCGCGTTACCTAGTGTTTGATGACCTTCATATTCATTCCTATGTTTGACTTAAGGAAGCATTTGGTAATTAAACTCAAATTTTCTTTGCATGATTTAAATTGTTTTTCACTTTTTTCAGTGAGCCAATACTCTACCCTTGAACGTTATTGATTGTTAAAATCTTGAATACTTTGCAATTAGATTTCTCATATTTTGTTGAAGGTCCAAAGTCCAAACCGACTCTAGTTCTGAAATTTGAGTATGCAATATAAGAGCGGTGGAGCCACATTTACCCAATTTGACAATCTTTTTTTTTTAAAATAGAGTTAAATAGAAAAAGTATATAAGCTCAAGGTAATCATAGTAATTGTTATTAATATTAGAATTAATCTTTTCAACACTGACAACAGCATATACATTATCACCGTTAGATGTATGATAACTATACAAAATTTGAATTTAAAATTCAATTTTTACACACATATCATGAATTAAACGGTGATAGTGTATGTAGTGTCAGTATATATAAAATTTACTTTTAATATTAATATGTGCACGGCATGATTACACCACATGCATAACGAGATTTTTGGCCTAGTCTTTTAATTTATGGGATTGATGGCTCTGTACAGTAGTATTACCATACATGCTAACAAGGCCTTGTTACCTAGTGTTGTTTTTTAATCGGTGATAGCAGCAGTTAATTAATTAGCAGGGTTCCCACCACTGCTGCCCCCCCCCCCCCCCAAAAAAAACCTTCCGTACTAGTGCTGCATGCCATCCGGTTGCTAACATAAAGTCCTCAAACTTTTCTCTACCTATTGACTCCTCCTATCCAATTCAGCCATTTATCAGCATATTGCCGCCTACATCCCTTCCCCACTCCCCTACTCTTCCTTCCCCCCACCACCCCTCTCTCCCACTCCCCTACATCGCCACTGACTGCCTCCCTCATCAACCATGGCTGAGAAGGTAAGCCAATTCTCTTGCTAGCTTTCCAAACCATCCCTCAAATGTTCTTTTTTAGTGTTTGTTCAATCTGAAAATTTTAATTGCAAGTCTATGACAGTACATACAACGTGAGATATGCTTCTCTTTATGTCAAGATCTCTAGCCACATCTCTCAGCTAAACTAGCAGTACCATATAATTGTGCATCTTAATTTTACATTTCTTGATCGTCATGTATATACATATATGGATCGAGGTTGATTATTTTGCTCCGATAATATGCAACCATACAGGTCACAGTAATGAGACTCAATGTTGATCTTCAATGCCCCAGCTGCTACAAGAAGGTCAAGAAAATCCTCTGCAAATTTCCTCGTGAGTCGCTTATAATTATCAATGCTATCTCTTATGTTTTCATTACCAGTATACTAGTAGTAGTTCTTTGGAGCAAGTACAGTTGGTTGAAGGACATCCACCGTTCCACCGACTATGTACATAGGCAGGTGCACCACCATGAGCCTCCAAATTCTTTCTTCCCCCTTCTCCATAATTATTAAGCGAGTTGAACAACAAGAGTTAGGTAGTGTGGCTTATGAAACTACTAGTGATCAGTTAGTGGCTTTTATTTTTATGGACAAGAATTTGAGTTTTTCCTTTTTCTTTTTTTTTTGGGTGATGCTCAATTTTTTTGGACAAGAGAAATCAGAGACCAAGTATATGATGAGAAGCACAATCTGGTGACCATCACCGTGGTGTGCTGTAGCCCGGAGAAAATCCGCGACAAATTATGGTGCAAGGGTGACAAAGTCATTAAGAGCATTGATATCGTGGAGCTACCCCCACCACCAAAGCCCAAGCCACCCGAGAAACCCAAGGAGCCCGAGAAGCCGAAAGAGCCAGAGAAGCCTAAGGAGCCCGCCAAGCTCAAAGAGACAGATAAACCTAAAGAGCCTGCGAAGCCCCCAGTGGTTGTGGTTGTGGTTGAAAAACCAAAAATTCCCGAAAACCCCCCATTTGAACCGGTCCCGATAATCCCACCACCGCCACCACCAGCACCGGTTCCAGTTGAACCGTGCTTGCACCCGCCAGTTCCAGTGGGGGTCTGTTGTGTCCCATGTTCGGAAGGGTACGGCGGGGGACCATGCTACTACTGGTACGGGCAGCCCGTGCCCCCGCTACCCTATTATGATAGCTATGGTTACGAGTACGGGTACCCTGGGAAGGGGTACCCGTACAGCCGCTGCGATTATTTCAGTGAGGAGAACACTGGAGGCTGTACGATTATGTGAGAGGAGTAGAGAATTTGATGGGGTGACCTTACTGTGATTCTACTACTATATGGATATGAAAACTGAAAAGCGTCCAAATTAATCAATTAATTTTGTTTAGTGGGCAGTACATGCAATGAATGCATTGAAGCAAAATAATAGTAGTACTATGTAGGCTCCGTTTGCAAAGTGAATTTTTTTGGATGTTTGTCTAAAATTTTATTATAATTTATTGTAGAAGTTTTAAAAAAAATTTTTGAAGTGTATTTTTTTTAATATTTTGAAGTGTATATCTTAAAAACTTTGAAATTTTTTTTAATATTATTGTAGTTTAAATTTTTAAAAAACTTATTATGTTATAAGGGTGGCAAAGTCATTAAGAGCATTGAGATCGTGGAGCTGCAAAAGCCCAAGCAACCCGACAAACCTAAGGAGCCAGAGAAGCCTAAAGAGCCTGAGCAGGTCCGAGTGGCTGTGGTTGACAAACCAAAAGAAACCGAAAAACCCGAAGGTATAGTACTTGAAAAGCCCAAGGCACCTGCACCACTATCACCAGCACCGGTTCCACCTGAACCGTGCTTACACCAAGAAGTTCCAGTGGGGTTCTACTGTGTCCCATGTTCGGAAGGGTACAACGGGGGACCATGCTACTATGCGTACAGGCAGCCCGTGCCCCCGCCGCCTTGTTATGATAGCTGTGGTTACGGGTATGGGGAGGGGTGCCCATATAGCCGCTGCGATTATTTCAGTGAGGAGAACACTGGGAGCTGTGCGATTATGTGAGAGGAGAAGAGTAGAGAATTTGATGGGGTGACCTTAGTGTGATTCTACTGCTATATAGTATGATATGATATGAAAACTGAAAGCGTCCAAATTAATCAGTTAATATTATTGTTTGGTGGGTGGTACACGCAATGAATGCATCGAAGCAAAGTAATAGTACTATGTAGTTAGAACCTTAGGCCCCTCATAAGACCTATACAAGGAAGAAGAAAATAATAATGTGTATATGATTATGGACTATGGAGGGTGGGAGAGAGAGAAAGATGTGCGGGCTTATTCAAGTTGAAAGTCAATTACAATAAGCTTTCATATGTATCCAAATGAAAGTCGTTACATCAAATTTTCTTTTCATTGTTTATAATAATAATAATATAATAATAAAAGTCCTTTACGATCATGATTGATATGCGTTAGAAGTGAACGTGCTCTCTTCTACTTCTTCTTCTTCTTCGGATTTCATTTTTTCGCTTTGTTCTCTAGAAATACAGTTATTTGTCAGAAATAAAATTAAAAAAATTACAAAAAAGGTAGTAATATGCTAGTGTAACAGGAATGCAGAAAAGAGCTAGCTAGTATTACTTAACAAACAGTTGGTAAAAGTGAAAACGCATATTAATTTGCATGATGCCATCTTAAATGGTCGATGCATTCAGCGGTTGAATTTAGTTAAATTGTGGTTAAGATTAAATGGACGTGCAATGCAATGGATGCTTGGTTGAATGTATTTTCGGAAAACGGCATTGGTATATATGAATTATGATGAGAGCGTTTGACGAAATGAGTAGGGTTTGGTTCGGGACCGGTGGTTGATTGGAGCAAATGAACCGACCCCATGTAATAATAAAATGTGGTCAACAAAAAAAACAACGTTAGTATGATCATTATCAATGATCAACCAACCTTCCAGATAAGTATATAGTAACGGACAGCCTCGCTCGCTCACTCTACTAGATTTAATTAATTAATTTAGGTTTGGTTTCGTTGTCTGTAATAAATTGTCAACGGTCCAGAATGCCAATCCGTCCATTATTGCAAAAAATAATTGAGGGGCGACGTAATTCGTTGTTCTTCCAAATCCTAGGCCTGTCAATCAGGCCTAATGAGTTGGGCTTTCATAAGTTCAAACACATCTCATTTAATTTAGAATATTTTTGGGTTTTGAGCTATGAGTTTCAGGTTCATAAATATGAAATTCATACTCAACTCGCATAATATTCGGATTGTGAGCCTTAATCGAGTTTAGTCCAAACTCACTTATTACTCCATAATTTTCTTAATATAATTACTATAGCTATCAAGTTGTAAAACTAATTTAACATTTACAAGATTATAATATTAAAACTAAACATGAACAAATAATAATTCTTAAAAAGTATATAAACCGAAAAGTTATCAATAATATTTATATTTAATTCATTCAAAATGCATGAAAAATAGTAATAAAACATGCAATCATAAGCCAATACATTTTTAAAAGTTGAAACTTTTTTTTTATAATCTTGTGATTTGAATCCAACCATGTTTGATGATTTGTGTTTGTAGACCAAAAAGAAATCAATCAATATTATACCAACACAAAAATTTACTCAACCAATAAGAAAAGTTAGAGATTTAATTATGCATTACTAATATTGGCTCTCAAGAAAAGTCTTTAGATATATTTTTGTATTTTGTAATTTATATATATATTTAGTATTTAGTAATAATATATTTGGATATATAATTATAAATAATATCAAAATATAAATATTATATATCTATAGGTATTTAAAGGGCCGGACCTATATCGAGTTTGAGCCTAATAAGGTCCAAACTCGGCTCATATTTAATTTGGGCCTATTTTTTAGGCTCAAACTCAGATCGGCTTGCTAAAAGATCAGGCTTATCGGGTTTTTTGTCGGGGCGAATGAGCTGAGTTTGGGTTGGCCCAGCCCCATTGACAGTCCTACCAAATCCTTCCATTTTGGTCTAACAAGGCTTTTCATAATTCTCAAATGCGACTTTGTGGCTGGGGGTTTTGGATAGATGTGTCAAAATGGCTGATTTGGATAGGTTTGGGTGGAATAAAATGGATAATGAGTATAAGTGAATCAATCTACTTATACACATTTAATTAGATGGGTATAAATAGGTAAATCAAAAAATGAATTAAGTAACCCAATTATTCAGTTATAACCCATTTATTTTAACTTTTTATAAACTCATTTAAATTCATTTTTGCAAACTAAGTTATCAATTTATACCATCCTTTGCATCCAGCATTAGTTTTAAATATTTGCTTATAATGCACAATAAGCCTAATTACCAATTTTTTCTCCATCCGTACTCTATAACGCAAAATTATATACTATTTAATAATTGAACGATAAAAATATAGAAATTTGAACTAAGAACTATAAAAGCTAACATGAAAACTTATTCCAAAAATTTTGAACTCCTAGCATTTTTTCTTGTGTAAATTAAAATTTTCATTTTGGAAAGGTAGGAAAAAAGGCTAAAACTTGTCATAAATTGATAATGCTGAAAAATGAGCAAGTTAATAAACTAAGAGAAAAAAAAAAAGATAAAATCAATAAATAATAATAATAATGAAACAAAAGTAGTTAACATCATGATAAAATTAAGAATCTGAAAAAAAAATGGGTGGATGAAGAAAGGAGATTTGGGGAAAGACAATTTTAATGGGTTAATTGAGTTTAAATGGGTATTATTAGGTAACTCATCTATACTTATACGTAAAAACTTAAAATATCCATACTCTCCTATTTATAGATGGGTATGAGTAAATTTAATTAAATGAGTTTGATTGCCACTTATGTATAGCATCAAAGTGACCGCCACTGGACTTGCGATTAGTGTGACATAATACTATAACTTGCAAGTCCCTCAAGTTGAAGTCCTTCTATTTGCAGTACTGGTGAAGTCTGATCTCTCTGTCTCTCTCTCTCTCGATTGGAGTTGGATGAAGGAAAACGACGCGGTAGGTGGTGCCGGCTCTCAAATCTCAAAATTTGCTTAAGTCGTGCTTTTGTGGGGATTATGAATACGTGAATGATGAGGTAATATAAATATATTTTGGAAGGTGAGGTGGGCTTATCAATTCAAAGGCAGCAACGGAGTATGGATGTTGATGGAGGGGAGGATAAACTGTCACTGCTCCGCACAACTCACATTAAAATTCAACGCCCCCTTTCATTTCATTTCCACCCTCCTTCCTTCCATACTTGTAGTTAGTACTGCATGCTGCCCGGTTGCTATCTTTCTACATAAAGTCCTCACAATTTTTTCTACCCAATTGCGTCCTACTGTCTAATTCTTCAACCATTTACTAGCATCAGTTTAGTATATTGCTGCCTACATCCCTTCCCCACTCCTCTACTCTTCCTCTCCCCCACCCTCCACAAAAAAAAAAAAAGAAAAAATTTTGAGTTTTTCTTCTTTTTTTTTTTGACAAGAGAAATCAGGGACCAGGTAGATGATGAGAAGCAAAATCTGGTGACCATCACCGTGGTGTGCTGTAGCACCTGTAGAAATCCGTAGACAAATTATGTTGCAAGGGTGGCAAAGTCATTAAGAGCATTAAGATCATGGCGCTATCCACCAAGCCGCCCGAGACACCTAAGCAGGAACCTAAGCCGCCCAAGGAACCTAAGCCCCCAGTGGTTGTGGTTGAAAAACCAAAAGGACCCAGTAAATGAGAAGTCCGAGAAGCCTGAGAAGCCCAGGAAGCCCGAGCCGCCGAAGAAGCCTAAAGAGCACGAGCAGCCCCCAGTGGCTCTGGCTGAGAAACCAAAACAAGCCAAAAACCACATAAGAGTAGTTGAAAGGCTGAAGATTCCGGGGCCCGAAGAACCTCCCAAGGCACCTGAACTGGCCCCGGTAATCCCACCACCACTACCATCAACACCGGTTCTGCCTGCATCGTGCTCGCACGAAGATCTTTTTCATCTCTCTCGTGGGAGAGAGACCAAATCTGGGAAGTACTTTTTATAGTTTTTAATTTCTTTTATTTGAATAAATTCTCTTCTAAGATTTTCTAATGAATAATTTTCTCTCCTAAAATGTTTTAGTGAGAGTTTCTTCACTTCTAGATTGTTCTAGTGAGAGTTTTATTCTCTTATAAGTTCTTCCTGACGAGAGTTCTTTAGATTTTTATCTTTATGAAATTTTAAATTTTGTAAATTTAGAAACAAGTTTCTCAAATTTGCAACTTTTTTATTATTATCATATCTAAATTTCTCTTTGGATTTGAATCAGTTTTAATTAGATCTGATTATCAACAAACATGAACTGATGTATTGGGCTACACTAATTCATCCGGATCGAAGATATATAGGAGTATCAATTTTTTTTTTTAATAAAAGGAGCATCAATGTCACAGCTCAAAGAGCCTGAAAAGCATTTCTTAATATATATATATGGATCGAGTTTGATTATTTTGCTCCGATAATATGCAACCATAGAGGTCACTGTAATGAGACTCAAGGTTGATCTTCAATGCCCTTGCTGCTACAAGAAGGTCAAGAAAATCCTCTGCAAATTTCCTCGTGTGTCTCTTATAATTATCCATTCTATCTCTTATGTTTTCATTACCCGTATACTAGTAGTAGTTCTTTGGAGCAAGTATACAATTGGTTGGAGGACATCCACCGTTCCACCGACTATGTACATAGGCATGTGCTCCACCATGAGCTACAAAATTTTTTCCCCCCTTCTCCATAATTGTTAATCGAGTTGAACACACAAGTTAGGTGGCTTATGAAGCTACTAGTGATCAGTTAGTGGCTTTAATTTGTATGGACAAGAATTTGAGTTTTTCTTTTTTTTTTTGTTTTGGGTGATGCTCAATTTTTTTTAACGAGAAATCAGAGACCAGGTATATGATGAAAGGCATAATCTGGTGACCATCGCCTGGTGTGCTGTAACCCGGAGACAATCCACGACAAATTATGTTGCAAGGGTGGTAAACTAGTTAAGAGCATTACCCCCTTCCATTACGGACCTGTTAAAAGCCATTCCTAGACCTCACCATTCTAAACAAACAGACAACCTTATATGGAGGAATTCTCCAGATGGGGAATTTCGTCTCAAATCTGCATATGAGATCACTCGTATGCTATATATTCAGGCCAAACCCAATGTTCAAACACCCCATCCTCCAAGCCAGTCTTTCACTTGGATTTGGACTACTCACACATCTCATCGAACCAAATTATTCCTCTGGTTAGCTTCACAAGACAAACTAGCAACAAGATACCTCCTTCATAATAGAAACATCCTCCCTGATAATATCTGCCCTTTCTGCCCAGGACAGATAGAGGATACTAATCATGTCTTGCGTAAATGTGTCCACGCCCAAGCTGTTTGGATGGAGCTCAATCCCAACTACTATCTATCCACTCTACACATTCCTTTTCATATCTGGATTAGGGAAGGATGTAAACTTTCCACACCCTCCCCTTTCTACAATATTCCTTGGGGCACACTCTTTGCCTTTACTTGCTCCACCATTTGGAAATCCAGGAATAAAAAGATATTTGAGCCCAACAGAACACAACCTCCACCAACCAAAACCAGCATCAAGTTGGCTATTGAATTCTACTCCCTTGGCCCAAATTCTGGCCATCCCCCTCACAGAAAATCCCAAATTCTTATCAGATGGATTCCCCCAATCCTCCATTGGTTCAAGCTCAACTCAGACGGCTCAGCCTTAGGAAACCCAGGTCCAGCGGGAGCTGGAGGTGTTATCAGAGACGCCTCCGGATGTTGGATTAAAGGATACTGCAGAAACTTAGGTTCTACAAACATCATGCTGGTAGAATGTTGGGGTATCCGAGATGGACTAGCAATAGCCCTTTCCTTAAAAATTTCTCAACTTGAAGTTGAAGTTGACTGCGAAGCTATTGGGCCTGTTTGGAACCTGAGTTTTTTGGAAGTTTGTCTAAAACTTTACTGTAGTGCACTGTAGAAGTTTTTGAAAAAATTTTGTAGAAGTTTTTGTAAGGTGAAAATTTTTTTTGTAGAAGTTTTTGTAAGGTGAAAAATTTTGTAGGAGTTTTTGTAAAATGAAAAACTTTTTTGATTCCTTTTCTTTTTTTTTTTTCTTTCTTTTTTTCTTTCTCTTTCTCTTTCTTTTTCTTTTTCTTTCTTTCCTTTTTCTTTTCTTTTCTCTCTTCTCTTCTTCTTCCTTTTTCTTCTTCTTCGTTCTGTGTAGCCTCCCCGTTCCTTCCCAGCACCGACCCCTTCTCCCGCCACCCCTCTCCACCCTTTCCCCTTTTCCCCCCTCTGCCTTCCCACTCCCTCCCCCGCCACCGCGCCACCCCCTCCTCCTGCCACTCCCCCTGCCCTTTCCCAACTTGATGACCCCCTCCCCCGGCACCCCCTCTGCCGCGACCCTTCCCCGCCACCCCCTGCCCCAGCGCGACCCCCTCCCCCGCCACCCCCTCTACCATTTCCCCAACCCGACCCAGGCACCACCCCCCGTCCTTTCCCCAGCCCTCCCCCCTCCCCCCTGCCGTTTCCCCAGCATGCGCCTTCTCCATAGCCATCAACAAGCCATGTGCATCTCCGCACGATGGGGGACGAAACGGCGGTGGTGGTCGACACCGGTGGTGGTGGCGGGTTGGGATGGGGGTGGAGGAAGAAAAAAAGGGAAAGAAATTTTTTTTTTGTGTTGAATTTTTTTTTTTTGTGTTATTGGTATTTTGAAGTGTGTAGGTAAAAAACTTTGAGAAGATTTTTTGGAGTTCCTGTAGCAAAAGTTGTTAAAAAACTTGTAGGTAAAAAACTTGGCCAAAAAACTAGCTTCCAAACAGGCCCATTATTACTTTGTTAACAGCTGTTGCCAATCCTAATCACCTTGTGAACTCTATCATTTCGGATTGCAGATTCCTCCTTTCGCAGCTGCGGCATGTTAAAATATCCCACATATACCGGGAGGCAAATAGATGCGCGGACGCACTCGCAAGAATGGGAGGCAGATTACAATCCAACTTTGTAACTTTTGCTAATTGTCCTCAAGACCTCGCTTTTGTCTATGATGAGGACTTGAAAGGGATCTGTTTCCCCGCACTATCTCTTTTGCAATGTAATAGATAGGGCGAAACTCTGTTGTTTATTAATGTTTAATCCCTATTTTCACCAAAAAAAAAAGTTAAGAGCATTAAGATCATGGAGCCACCAAAGCCCATGCCGCCCGAGAAATCCAAGGAGCCCGAGAAGCCCAAAGAGCCATACAAGCCTAAGGAGCCCGCGAAGCTCAAAGAGACAGGTAAGCCCAAAGAGCCCGAGAAGCCCCCAGTGGTTGTGGTTGAAAACCCAAAACATCCCGAAAGGCCCCCATTTGAACTGGCCCCAATAATCCCACCACCGCCGCCACTAGCACCAGTTCCAGCTGAACCGTGCTTGCACCCGCCAGTTCCAGTGGGGTTTTGCTGTGTCTCATGTTCGCAAGGGTACAACGAGGGACCATACTACTACGAGTACGGGCAGCCGGTGCCCCCGCTACCCTGTTCTGATAGTTATGGTTACAAGTATGGGAAGGGGTACCCATACTGCCATTGCGATTTATTTTAATGAGGAGAACACTAGGGGCTGTACGATTATGTGAGAGTAGAATTTGATGGGGTGACCTTAGTGTAATTCTTCTACTATATGGTAAGATATGATATGAAAACTGAAAAGCATCCAAATTAATCAATTAATTTTGCTTGTTGGGCAGTACATACAATGAACGCATCGAAGCAAAATAATACTAGTATGTAGTTACGGCCTTAGGCCCCTCATAGGACCTATAAAAGAAAGAAGGAAATAATAATGTGCATATAATTATGGATTATGGAGAGAGAGAGAGAGAGAGAGAGAGAGAGAGATGTGTAGGTAAGGCTGTAAACGAATCGAGTCGACTCTGGTTTTGACCTAATCGAGTCGGATCTTCAATTAATTTATCAAGCTCGAACTCGAGTTCAAGCTCCACGAGCCGCCAATCTAAAGCTTGAACCCGAGCTTGACTCAAATTCTAGTCGAGTTTGAGCTTGAGTTCGAAAAAATTAAAAATAATATTTTATTTTTTAAAAAATGAATAAAATAATATTTTTTCTTAATAAATAATTAAAAATTAGGGACATATATTTAATTTTACTATTAAAATAAATAAATAAATATATATATATATATATATTCGAGCTCGCGAGCCAAGTTTAATATTTGAGCTCGATCTCGAGCTAGAGTTCAATTTGGCCATCTCGAGCTCGACTCAAACTTGATATTGATCGAGTTCAAGTCAAGTTTTTGTTCGGTTTGTTTGCAATCCTATGTACAAACCTATTCAAGTTGGAAATCAATCAGAATAAACATTCGTATGTACCCAAATGAATGTCATTACATCAAATTTTCTTTTCAATGTTTATAATAATAATATAATAAAAGTTCTTTATGATTATCATTGATATGCGTTAAAAGTGAATGTACTCTCTTCTTATTCTTCTTCTTTTTTGGATTTCATTTTCTCACTTTGTTCTCTAGTAATAGTTGTTGTAGAAACCAAAATTTTCTCAATTTCAAATACTATTTTTATTTTTATTTTTCACTTATAAATTATTTAAGTAATTATTTTAATTTTTTTTGTAAGTTTATGCAAAAAGGAAAAAAAAAGGAAAGGAAAAATGGATGTTCAAATGGAGGAAAAATAGTAAAAGTTTTTCATTTGTTTCTAATCCCATAAAATGCCCATACAAAAACCCATCGAAAATCCAAATGAAATCCAAGTGAAAACCCAGCAAAAGCCTAGAAGTAAAGTGGCCCATTGGCCCAACTCTTTTCTTTGGAGGGAAAAAAAAAAAAAAAAACTGATGCTTCACATGTGCATGCATTGCACGCATGCCATATTCCTCCCATTTTCGCAGACGAAGGAACCAGTACAAGCAAAGCCGTGAGCAGTTGGTGAGCGGTACATGCAAATGCATTGAAGCAAAATAATACTCCTTAGTATTGTGTAGTTAGGGCCTTAGACCGGTCATAGGACCTATAATATAAAAGGAAGAAGAAATAATACTAATGTGTATATGATTATGGAGTATGGAGAGAGAGACATTGGGGCTTATTCAAGTTGGAAGTCAATTAGAATAAGCTTTGGTATGTACCCAAATGAATGTCTTTACAACAAATTTTCTTTTCATTGTTTATAATAATAATAATTGGGTTTGTTTGGATTGTGAATTATTAGAGATATTTTTACTGTAACATTTTTTGTGATGTGATATATGTGAGATAAAAAGATAATTAAAAAGATAAAAAGGTGTGTTGGAAATTATAATAATTATGTAAACAAATATATTTTGACAAATAAATCGCAGTCCAAACAAACCTATTAATATAATATAAGTCCTTTGATCAATGATCATCATTGATATGCATGCGTTAAACGTGCGTGTAAAAGTCTTTCCTCAGCCTTCCTCATTTGCTTTTGGCTTTCTTTCGTACTTTGTACCATTTACATTTTTTTTTTCTTTTGGCTGCCGGTAAAGGTAAATGTAATTTTAGGAGCATATCAGGAAACATAGAAATAAAAAGCCTTTGGAGCTAGCTAGCAAACTCTTACATTGTCTACTTAAAATAAGGATTAATATTTGTACATTGAAAATATAGTACTCCCTCTGTCTCATTGATATTGTCGTACTTTCCTTTTTTATCCGTCCCAAAATGATTATCACTTACTAAAATTGGCAATAAAAACTCTCACACATTTCCGCTCCATACCCTTCAATGTGACAGCCTTTTCTTATCTTTTAGTGGACCCAATTATGCACTTCCCAAGTACCAACACTGCACTTGATAGTTCGTGATTCTCACGTGAAATGCAAACAACAATCGTGCATGACACTTTCCCCTAAAGTAGTGTGGAGACTTTTTATTCTTTTGGGTCTCACATGTCTTATCACAACTTATGGCCCTTTTATCATTCAATCACGTATGAAAACATTGAAAGTCAAGGGGTATTGCCGGAATTTAAACACAAATCATTTAAAAGTCTTGCACTGTTAATAAAAATTACAAGTTTCAAAGCGCGACACACTTTCTGGGACGGAGGGGAGGGAGTAATTTTTTTATACTAACAATTTTGAATGTATGTCGCATATGTAAGATTTGTATTCATATTATGTAGTATAATCTAAACATGTCAGTATAGAAAAAATTATCTTTAAAATAATAATAATTTTGTGACCATTAATTAAATCTCAGCATGATTAGAGTACTGACTCGTCGGACCATTATTGAATTACGCGTCCTCTTTGAATGTTTGCTTAATTAAATCTCAGCATGATTAGAGTACTTTTTTTTTTTTTTTTGAAATGTGTTGTTAACAGTCTACTTAACAAATATGCAGAGTTAGAAATTAAATCATTTGCACATTTACCACACCCAAAAAAAATATATATAGTGATAGCACCATGTGGATGGTTGGCCCATGTGGGGGAGATGCATGGATAGGCTCCCTCTTAATGTCCATCACTAAATCAATCAAACTACCTTATCAGTAGAAAATAATAAGCACCTCACCTTCATTACTCTAAGACCTTACGTGATTAGAGTCGTGCTTTTGTGGGAATTGGGAGAATATGTGAATGATGAGGTAATTTTTTGCAAGGTGAGAGGTGGGCTTATCAAAGCCAGCAATGGAGTATGGATGTTGATGAAGGGAGGATACAGTGTCACTCCTCCGCACAATTCTGCAATTCAAAGCCACCATATATATGGCTAATTCCTTAGATTATAGTTGGAAAAAAAAATAGATCAATTGTTGAAGAAGAGAGTCAAATGCATATACCAATAACTATGTGCCCAGTAAATTACACCTTGTACTCATAAACAATTTACACATCTAATAACTCATGAGAATGATGTTAAAAATGGCAATCATTCAATGTAGTACAAGGAGAAGGAAAAAAAAAAAAAGAAAAAAGACGAGCACTTGAAAATCAGTTGAGTCCTACTGCCATCAGAACTACTGGAATAACCTCCAAAACTGTTTCTCCACCCTCTTCAACATCCGACCCGCTCATAATAATAAAAAAAACACCCCTGACTCAGCACGGCAAAGGCCAAATTTTTTTTTAAAAATCCGATCAAAACCTGCACGATCGTGATATCCTCTACCAGAAAAGAATCTGTCAAGCCCTTTCTTTTTAATTGACCTGTGCTACAATGTTGACTAAGCAAGGTAGTGTCAGCCATGTTTAAAAAAAAAAAAAAATTTTTGCCTTACCGTATTTCGTCAACACGGCAGGTATAGTTTGGTACATCATCTTTGTCAGAGCAATATTTGATCGACTTTTTTCTTTTCAGATATAATCTAAGGAATTAGCCCCACTGTATATAACTAGTACTGTTAATCGAACCGAGTATTTGACCGCCGTACTCGACTCGTGCTTAAGTCGAGCTAGACTCGAGCTCGCTTGACTAAACGAACGGGTCTTGGAATGCGTTCGAACTCGGCTCGCCAAATGGGACATGACTCGAGTTCGAACTCATGCTCGACCCGTTTACCACAAACGAGCCGAACTCGCACGAGTTCAAGAAACCTATAATTTCCAGTTTCTATTCTTCTGACTTATGAAATGACATATAAGTCCTTCCTTATTGAGTCCAAGTCAGCTATTCGAATAACAAACGATTCCAACTTACTCAATTCACTAATTAACCGAATAAATTTCTAATTTGAACTTGACTCGTTTACTAAAATTCATGAGTTGAGTTCAAACCTTATCGAGTCAAATTCAATTGAGTTTGTTTTCGAGCTGCTTGAACTATTTAGCAGCACTATATGCCTGCCTTACCTTACGTCATACTACTAGAAAGCTGACAATCTTGATGATGGCATCAAAATTCAACGCACCTTTGGTTTCATTTCCACTAGTACTGCATGCTATCCGGTTGCTATATTTCTGCATGAAGTCCTCGCACTTTTTTCTACCTAATAGGCTCCTACTATCTGATTCAGCCGTTTATCAGCATCGAGTTTAGTATATTGCTGCTTACATCCCTTCCCCACTTCCTTACTCTTCCTTCTCCGACAATTCCCCACCCCAAAAAAAAAAAAAAAAAAAAAACTTCCCATTTCCAACATTTATCATTTGGGCTGCGGATTCTTGATCAGATCCACCTATCGCCACTGACTGCCTCCCTCATCAACTATGGCTGAGAAGGTAAGCCAATTCTCTTGCTAGCTTTCCAAACCATCCCTCAAATGTTTCGTGATATTGTTTTGCATCTTTTTTTCCCCCCTTTTTTAGTGTTTGCTCAGTCTGGAAATTTTAATTGCAAGTCTATAACAGCACATACAACGTGAGATATGCTTCGTTTTATGTTAAGATCTCTAACCACATGTCTCAGCGTAAACTAGTAGTACCATATAATTGTGCATCTCAATTTTACATTTTTTGATTGTTATATATATATATATATGGATCGAGTTTGATTATTTTGCTCCGATAATATGCAACCACACAGTTCACTGAAATGAGACTCAAGGTTGATCTTCAATGCCCCTGCTGCTACAAGAAGGTCAAGAACATCCTCTGCAAATTTCCTCGTGAGTCCCTTATAATTATCAATTCTAT